ACTCGGGCCGAAACAGCCCCGCACCCCGGGCAGATGCACCCCGCCATAAACGTTATTGAGCCCCGGCTCCCCCCTTCAGCATCCCCCCCCGCCGCGGGGACCGGGCTGGCCGGGAGCCCCGGCTCCCTCCGAAGCGCAGAGGGAAGGAGGGCCGTCCCGGGGCCCAGCGTTTCGCCGGGGAAAACCGTTCGGACTTCAACGTTGTGCCCTTTCTTGCTCGTTAGGGATGAGTAATTATTCGTATTATTCAGCTGTTGCGCTCGGGGACGGATCGCGCTGTTACTCAAGCGCTGGCTGCGGAGGGCTTCCAGCGCAGCGCCCGTAGCCCCCTCTAAACCCAACCCATTAGGCGCTGCAGCTGCCATAAAAAGAGAATTAAACCGAACCTTGTATGAACATCCCTGCATCCAGCCGCAGCAACTTTAATAATAATCATATTCAGGTGCATAGAACAGTTACGGGGAAAATACTTTCGTATCTTTCCAGTCAGTAAAAGCATTAAAGATTTGGAGCCAGATCTTCTTTTCTTTGCATGCCCAGGGAAATGAAAAAGCTACTGAGGTTTTTGTTGCGTTTTCCTTTTTTTCTTTTTTTTTTTCCCTCTTGTTGGAAGATATTTTTTCAACCTTTCTTTTTTTTTTTCCCCGCAGAACTAAGGAGGGTGACATGCTCCGTTGAAGGAAGCAGAATAGAAGTCCTCCTTCCGTAAAAAAAAAAAGGGGCAAATTTTACGGTTTTGGGGAATAGGATCTCAGCTTCACTTCGCTGGTTTCGGACAACAGAGAGACAGAGAAAAACTCGTGGTGTGGTTCGCCCGTGTTACAGCCTCGGAGGTCCCGTTCGGGCCGTCGAGTGGCACAGCTGAGATTCCTGATCGTAATCTAAAAAGGAAATAGCTGCCATTCAGGGGACGTAACCGTTTCCACTATCGCGTTTTACCTATCCCTAAAATGCAAATTTATCCCAGATTTCTATAGCCCCTTCGTCAGCGAGTATGAGCAAGGGGCTGATTAATAAATATACCCCAGAGATAAATTATCCCCTCAAGTAAGGTTATCAGCGTTAAAATTGTAGAAGTGCTTTCCAGACGTGAAAATATAGGTATGTGACAGAGAGATAATTGATGAAGGGGGGGGGGGGGACCCCAAAAAACCCCCCCCCAAAAAAAAACCCCAAAAAAGAAA